TTTAAAAAAAAATTGATGAATACTAGTGACAGCGTCAACATTTTTCTGTTGGTCATGTTGGAATGATAAGATTGTGAAGGATGAAGTGTCACTGACATTCTTTTAAAGTACGTAAGATACAATGCCTTTTTCTGTCCTGAAACAGAGGTGACATGTTCTATTTGGAACATTGGGCCTAACTACTGAAACTGTGTACCTTCTCAGAGAATTCCATATTAAAAATTAAAAATATTTCATGTTCAAGAAAACGTACATGATTTTCAGTGGAGTGGAAGCAAATAATATTACAATGTGACTTATGCATAAGATTTTGTAGTGATTAAATTCAATGAAATATGAAAATGTTGAATGTAAGCAGGATCTGTATGCCACTAAATATTCAAGACACTAAGATAACTGAACAAAGAAAAGCAATAAACAAACTGTATATGAACAGAGGAAGCAAGGTATTAAAAGGAACAAATAATCTCTCTTTGCTTTTTTTTAATTATTGTAAAACCAGCACTATGATATTGCGTAGAAAGCCTACATGTACAGTCTGACTTTAGCAACAACCTTTTAAGATGTCGTTACACCATCAACTTTTCTGCTTAATATAAAACAGAGTTAGCCTGTCATTTATCTCTTGGTATACATGTGATGTTATCCAAGATGTGTTTCCTTTTGACTGTACTCAGTGCTATCAAACAGAGTTTTCTGTACTCATCTTCTCACAGTATTGAAAGCAAGGGTCTTGTAGCACATCATGGGTACCTTGGTTAGTTTTCTGTGCTATGTTTCACTGAAACAAATGCAGTTTCACATGTACTTTTTCTCTTGTTTCCAAGTAAAAGGCTGGCTAGTACTAATGATATGTCCAGTAACTTCCTCTCAGAGTTAAACCTCACACTGGAAATACATTTGGTTTTTAACATAGACCCTGCCCAATGCATAAGAAGGAGCTGAACTCTTTAGCAATAATGTTTGTTGTATTTTTAATGAAGGTATAAATAATACTATAAATTTGAATGGGGTTTGGAATTCATTAGTTTACACAGAAATAGAAATAATAATCTCTCAGCTACATTTGATCAAGTGATTCAAAGAGTCCATAGCTGAAGTCAAACACCTTTCTGTCTGTGAGAATTAAAAAAAAAAAAAAAAAAAACCAAACCAAAAACCACAAACAAACAAGAAAACAGATTGTGGCATTGAATCCATATTTCTCTGTTTATTATACAGGAACTCCAGTTTACAATTTCCTCTTCTGTTATTGGTTAGCCTCCCTTGGATATTTTGTTGCTGGTTATACACTTAAATATATCTGCAGCTTACAGATATTTCTATAAATTTTGTTTATTTTACTCTAAGCTCCTTATTCCTTACTAGAAAGAATATTTTTAGTGACACATTTAGTGTAGGCTTGCTGCTTATTAACATGAAGTTGTGCATGCAGAGACAGATTTGCCCAATTTCCTCATATAAAGACAATAACAACTTGTACTTTTCTGTCATTTTCTATCAAGTTCCCCAAAAAGAGGTAAGTTTTTCCCTGTGGATCATCAGGAGATTGTATTTGCTATAGCCCAGTCCACAGAATGATGTCACTTCATGTTTTGTTTAACACCTGGCATGTTGCACAGTCCCATATATGTTACACATACCTGGAAAGTTTTAACGAGTGACTGTCTGGGTGTGTTTCAGTGTGGGGCAAATGTACAAACTGCAATTCTGGTTAAAGTTACTTCTCTTAGTGAATTTCTGCAGGAAAAAAAAGCAGCCTATGCTGGTAAGATGATAGTACTGTATATTTTTAATAGAAACTGCAGTGAATAGATACTGCAGGAAAAATGGAAAGCTATCAATTCTAACCAAAAACTAATGACTGTAAAATTTTCTGATCAGTCTTTGGCATAGTTTGGGGAAGTTAGGGCCAATTCACTTACTGTAAGGCATCTCTGGCCTTTATGTTCACTAGCATTTCTGACACCCATCACCTCAGGGAGCCAGTTCTCACTTTGCCTTATTTACTTGTGGCAAAAGCCCCATTTCTCATTATGTTACACTGCAAGGGGAAAGTGCAAAGCCCTCCTCTTCCTCTTTTTCTCCCATTCATTTTCATGTCCCAAAGCAAAGGAATAGTGCAGGGCACTATTGCTAGAACCATCAGGAACTTTTGCATCTGCTACCTTCCTGAAATAGAAGGAAAATATAAATATTTGGCCCCAAGATAATTTATTTATATGGGAACAGAAATTCGTTTTAGAGAATCCATGTCAAGGACTCCCATGAGTCTTTTAGACACCCCAGGATTACCTCCAAGAGAGCAGGGACTTCATTTCTACTGTAAACATGCTTGCAGTTCACCACAAACATGTCAATAATGGTAACAAATGGCCCCACTATGTGTCGTACATTGGGAGCCAGGGGAAGCGCGTGTGAAAGCTATTTTTAGAGATGAAGCAGGAAGGCTCATTTATACTTCATGAGTAACACAAAGATTAAAACAACTAAATTTTTTAAAAATTGTGCCCACATTTGGGGGCTAGTGTACCAAAAATCTGTGGGAGTAAAGGGGGAGAAATAGGAGAAATGAAGTGCTATTTATCCTGTCATTATCTTACGAGTCTGTGTTTCTTTGGGCAGTAATCACAGGACCCAGATGCTAAGGGTAAGTGATATTTTCCCACAAGCAGTTTCTGGCTCGCTGGCAGCTTTTGTAGGCAGTTGTGTTGGCAGCCTTGGAGCTGCCTCTGGCTCTGTTTTGTGGCTTTGCTCTTGATGGGCTGCCTGGGCTGCCCTGTGCTGCTGGATGCCATTTCCCCATGTCAGCCCATGGGCTTTCTGGAGCTTTACACTGCACAAATCCCCCGTGAAATAGATAAATGGGCTCTTCTGAGGCAGAAAGGGAATCTGTTTCCTGGCTGTTTTAGGCATTAGGTGAATTACTGCTTCAGGTACTTGGGGAAACTTCGTCCATTTTGCAATTTTTGGCTTCCCCAAGCTGTAATATTAGTCACAAAGGCACAGCCAGATACAAGCCCAGGTTAGTCCTTGTTCCACTCCTCTCCACCCCGCCCTGGCTTTTTTTTTTTTTTTTTTTTTTAACTTTCTTTTGTCTCTGCTACTGTATTTTGTGGTCTTTTTAATTGTACCCTATTTATGATATATTAACACCACCACACCACCAGAAAGTAAATACAGTATCTCAAATATGACTGTAAGAGTAAAAAAAATGAGTTTTCTACTTGGCAGCAGTGGCAGATTTTTCCCCTCCCCGGTTTACCTGTAACTTGATAATGCTTTAAAATATAAAGATGCGTAAAATACACTGTTTGTGAGTAATTCTGCATATTCTGTCTGGGACCGGTAGATAAAACTGTCTTAAAATGTTTTTAAACATTATTCTGTCTTTTAGATACATGTGTTGCTGTGCTGCCAATATACAATATTTCTTTTGCATATGTATTATTGAACAAAATTGGAAGAATTATATTTATGAAAGAGATTTGTCAGTAAGACTCCTGGGCTTTTTAATAAATCCGGTAATAATACTAAACATGTTTTTGCATTGTTTCCCTTTTTTTCCCTGATTTGATCTACTTCATTTGCAGCTGAATTTAAAAAAAATGTATTTCTTGAGTAGTGATTAATTTCTCCGTGGATTTCTAACTTCCAGCTTATTAATTTTGGATTTTTTGTTATAATTAGTAAATTGCATATTTGTCAAATTATGACAAACAAAATGCAGAAAATTCTATTTCAGCTTTACCTGCAAAAGCAGATCTGTAGAGGTTTTTTTTTCCCTGAGTTCTCTATGTGCTTTCTAGTGTGCTAGTTCCCAGAAAGCTACCAGATCACTTGTTAGATTTGACTGGAATTGTGTATCATTCTGAGATTACTTTTGTACACCGAATCATTTCCTGGAGATTCATATACTGAAAATGTTTATTAATTGGTTTTTCATATGCTGTTTGTTTGGATTTTTAAATAGAAATAATGAACTCACTAGAAATAAGAAAACAGAAACCCTCGCAACCAATTTGTGTGAGCTCTTTTACACTTTGATGTCACCAAATCTGTGTAATTCTATCTCTGTCAGGAAATTACCACATGCCAGAGATTCCTCAATGAAATACTAAGAGTCCATATTCCTAAAAATGTATGATTCTTAAACTTTATTTTTATTAGCCTGACATCAAATACCACTGTGGATTTCTTGGCCATTTTTTTTTTTTGTGAACTGATTGATAATATTTTTGTTCAACATTAGTTATGCAAGAATCTAAAGGAAAAAATTACTCTACTTGCAAAGGGGTAGTCTTGGGTTAAATTTGCAATTTTTTTTTTCTTTTTTAAAAGTCAAACACCAGGAAACACTATTCTAAATCTAGACATATTTAGAATATGTTTTTCCTACAATCCAGTTTTATCAATTTTCTTTCAGAAAGAAAGAAACTGTGGCTTGTGACAGAATCTCTTCGTGGTGACCAGTCCTTACTGGGTTCCTGCTGTTCAAAGATTTGTGCCCATTACCTAGAGTTTGCAGAACTGGACTTGGAGGTTATAAACTATTTGTTCCATAGTTTTTAGACGTTTGGTTTGAAATGCTGTGAGATCAGTGGAAACTGTCATTTAACATGTTTACATATTTAAATGTTTACAACTTTTCTGCACTGGTGAGCTTGTACTACATAAAACCAAACCAACAAAGAAAGAAATCAACAAATGAAAAATCAACCCAACAACCCCCACTAAACCAAACAAATAAACAAAACCCGCTAAAAGCAAGAAAGCCACAGTGTCTAACGTTTGCCCTGCACTGTGGGCACAGTTATTGGATATATCCCTAAACTATTTCTGGAGCACTACTTTCCAAACTCAATCCCCCTTTTTTTTAATGAAATACCTGAAGGATAATATTAGTGTTTCATATTGTCCGTCCACATGGCCGCTGGTTCCTGTGCTTTCCTCACTAAACTGATGTAACTAAACAGGATTGTTCATTTTCCTCCCTGCAGTGCTTCAGTCCTGAAAAGTTCCTTCAAAGAAACTCTCGGCCTGGGACTGGTGCAGCTCTGCAGACTGGAGCTCTCACTGTACTTCAAAGCAGAGCAAGTCTCGCAGCTGCCTGGAGCCCGCTTGCCCCAGGAGGTGTCACTGTTGGGACTAGCAGGGCGAGCTCCAGAGCTGCTGTTTATTTTTTAAAGGCTGCATTGACCATGAGGTAGGAATTGACCTGTATTACAACTCCTTCCCTACCCCCAGCCTTTCTGGTGAAAGGTAATCAGAGGTAAAATTAGCTGGTGGCTTATATGGCATGATGGACACACAAAAATTGTACAAAAAGGCAGTGAATGCTGGGTACTGTAAGAAATACAAGCTATGTATACAGGCTTTTTAAAATACAGATTTTTTTTCCTATTCTTTGGGTACTTGTAAATTATACTGGAGAGGCTGGCATGATATAACTTTTTTGCTTTTCATTTTAATAGTCTTCGAGCTGAAGGACAGATGAATTTATGTGATGTGAGATTTGTGGTGTAAATGTTAAGATCTTACTAGATAATGCTCTTAGGATATTTGATACTTATTAAATCCTTTTCTATTTAGAAAAAAAAAGTATATTTATAGATCATCCAAGGGTTGAAAATTTTCTAACTATAAGTATAATGCAAATAATCTGTGTGACTTCCTAAGGATTTACTAGAGACTATAGACTTAAAAAAATAAATAAATAAATTAGGAATTACTGTGATTTGCATTCTACACACACACACACAAATCTTAGTAAGTTAGGCTAAGGTTTTGGAGCAACCTATCACAATCCAAGGTAAGTTGCTTAACTGATTAATTTGATTTGCCATAAACATTTTGCACTTTATTTCTGGAATCAATTCTTCTTTCAGCCTTCAACTTTGGGATTTATTTCACCAGACCTGTCAGTTTGCCCGTTCTCCATGGGTTTTTAGAAGTTTCCTGTCTATACAGTAGTGAGTGAAAACCTAGTGAGTCGCATTCTCTGCCTAGTAGATATGTCTTATTCCTGTGGTTTGTGGTTAATAAGTAGAATAATAAGAATTAAAGGAAGAAAGTCAGTTTAGTTTTAAATGTCTTCAAACTCACACTTCATATTTTCATTTAAAGGATACAACAGAAACTTTTTTCCCCGTAGAAAACTGCTGATATTAGCATAAAGCACAACAACCATTGCCTGAAACATTAAATTTTACCTGAATGGGGGATTTTGAAGTTCTTTGTCTTTATGTTGTCACTGTGAAAAGCCCAGAGAAGCAGGGTTCCTCTATCATTCAATAACTTCCTTTTCTTGAGCTCTTGATTTAATTTCTCTGAGCTTTGATGTATGTTTTAGTCCAGTTGTGAGAAATGCATATATAAAATGCCACATGCGTATGAGAATTTCAAATGTAAGTGGATTAAAGCCCCAACTTTAAGGGGAGCCCTGTCCACAAAAGAAAATGATTACCCATTAATTTTTAGACCTATAATCTTAAAATGTCTCAAAATGTCATAGAGGCAAACACATCACAGCTGGGATAAATCTTTCTAGTCTTCTTACTTTTTTTTTTTTTTTTAAAAAAGCAAAGTTATACCTTACATGATAGCTTCAAAAAAGCACAATTATCCTATGTTTTGCACCATATATTTATCAGTAATCCGTTCTGTGTGCAACTTTAAGATAAAAGCTTGTAGCTACTTCAGTGCTTGCTTTTCCAAGTCACTGAAAAATGGAAAAAATTGCAGCTGGAGAGGCTGGCCAGTAGAGGCCTCTCTAGATTTGCCTTACAATTAAGGACTCTGACTGCCTGAAATCAGTCGCAGTGAGCAAAAGTACTTGAAAAGATTCTGTGGTGTATGGGGGGGGAAAGATCACTTTTTAATGCCCTTTTAAGTTGCAAGATGTTGATTAATGTTGCCCTTTACATTAATGATGTTTCAAGTAAAAGAAAACAAATTTTAAATGGATAAATTCTATTGAGGATGCATTAATTAAACAGAGACTTTACCATATGCTGTGGCTGGAGTGCTTGCTGGCCTTTCTGTTGTTGTTACCTGTGTAAAATCCACCCTATCCTCTACATGAATGCCCAAGCTGAATAGCCATTTGAATGCAAGCTTTAGTTTGATTCGCCATACAAGGGGTACTGTGTCACTGTGTTTTCTTTCTAGGAGTCACTAAGTGATTTCTATATCTGTTGTCATGGTGATATAGCAAAGCAGGGGAAAATGGGGGCAACTCCAGGCTTTCTCTACACCCTCTGCACTAAGAACTAAGATGTTGTTAGCAGGCCTATAAAACATTGGGCTTTATCTGGGCCTTCTTTTTGTTCTCTGATTGTCAATAAAACTCATTTTAAGGGTAACAAGGACATCTAAATGTCATCTGTCACAGTGTTAGAGAGATTAAGTTTGTTTAGGAACTTGTGCTGGACAAAAGGCCACTATTTGTTCGGCAGATACAAAGCGATGTTGGCCATCAGCAATCGTGATTTAGAATGAGGCTGCATGGAGCATCCAGGAAAGATCAGCTCAGTTGCAGGTGATATAAGAGGCTCCTTGACATGACGGCATTTAAAACAACACCAAAACAAATATGGTTTTGAGTCAGGAGCGGTTTTATCAAGGTTTTGTTCTCTTGCGTTAGTTTTTTTTGTTACTTATCAGCATTGTAGATCACACATTACTAGAGTAGCTACATAGACCTGAGGGAAGAAAACAGCCATTGACAGTGAACAGTCTGTTTAAAAACATGACACACACACCTGATAGTCCTTGAATGAATAAAAAAAGAAGAGGGAAAGGAGGTTTTTCATGGAAAATCCAACAATAATAGGTGCTGCATTAACTGGGCATTTACTTAATAATGAGGCTAAATGGAAAGTACAGATTAATGAAGACATTGGTGTTATTAAAATCAAATCCTGCGGTTCATATGCTTTTCTTAATAATGAACATTGTGGCTATTGGAGAGGAAGAACAGGATTTTTTCTATTAATTTGGCACACATCCCAGATCTCATTGAACCAGAACCTATCCTGTACAAAATGCAACCCATGGCCTTTATGTTCCACAGTCTTGCCGTTTAATATTTGCGTTAATCCAGAAAAAAAAGCTTTTCTTTTTTCAAATTAAAGAAAAGCAAAGGGTGATCTTTAAGCCTAGACAATAATTAAATAACACAGACCAACCACGTTGATTTTAGCACAAAGGTTGGTTGAAAAATGTCCCTAGAAGGGAGATGTGATGGTGTTAATTGAACTACAACTACATTTGATTCTAACATTTGTGTTTGTTTAGTAATACGGTGTGTAATGCTGAGTGAAATATTTTGTGGGTTGTTGTGTATTTAGTGAGACATAAAGGAGAATATTCAGGACATTTATCTTGACAGGTAAAAATATTTCAGTCTCATTCAATGAGATTACTCTATTTCAAACACCAAACAAGGAGAATTTGAGATGCAGCTGAACAATGGAGTTGGCAAAGCTGAGTGCTCATTTTGCAATATGCTCAGTGTAAAACGTTTGTTTGACATGTGGAAGGAAGCTGCACAACCTACTCGGTGGTGGGTTGTGTGCATCGTGGAGTTACCAGCTCCCTACTGAAGTATTTCCCATTCTGAGGACCCAGCCATGCTCCCTGAGGGTCAGCAGCGTGAATGGGGGAGGCATACAGCGTGGCACAGGAGAGCGGGTATGACCCATAGGAAGGGGTCCTTGTCCTCTCCAGTAGGCCAGAAAGGAAAAGCATGACAGAAGGTGGCTTCTCAGGGAATTAGGCCTTTCCCTCTAAACAGCTACTCCAGATCAACCCATCAGCTTGGTTCTGCATGTGGATATGAGTAACTATGGCTGAAGAATTAAGAGCACCCAGAGCATGCTGTCTAATCTTCTGTTTTCCCCCTATCACTAAGGAGCATTCAGAGTGAAATTAAATGCAAACGCCACAGTAAATCCCCTAGAAGTAAACCTTGTCTGATATGATGAGTATATTGTCTCATCCCCTCTCTGGATATGTGACAGTAAAAATTTAACATGAGCGACTAGGTGTATAGTAAAACTCACTACAACATTTTCAGCTTTTGGACACTGTTTAAAACAATTTCTTGTCTAATTGCTGAAAAGTTGTGTAGAGGTTGTTTCTATAAAGGACAGAAACCACTCTCACTATTTACTGGAGGCCTGACATCCGTTCCTGCCACAGAGGGCAGCCAAAGATGCGTGATAGGAAAAGATCAGCATTGCTCTCTTGTCTCTTTCTATATCACTATATCCGGGGAATGTAAAATTGTGACAGGGAACCTCTTACCACCTACAGCTTCCTCCTGTGAAGGAGGCTTTCCCATCCAAGCAATTTACATGGTTTTCTGACCTCTCTGTGACCAGGCTCTGGTAAATTACTTGTTATCAGGAGGCCAGAATCCAGGCTTTAGTCTGTTGACAGAAAAAAACCAACCAACCAACCAAACAAACAAAACCCACCAAAAACATGCTGCAAGGATGTTGTGAGAAAAAAGAAAAGAGTGGTTTTTTTTCATTTTCAGACTTCTTTATGTTCATGACCTACCACTCTCCTGTTTTCTATTATTTTAGGTATGTAGTCTGCTATTCATTCAACTACTCTCCACAGTCTGCACTGACCTTCAAGACCAGACTTGGTCCAGAAGTCAGGAGATCCTGTCTCACTCCTCCCTGCTCTAATTCCACCTGCTTTGAAGGAGACATCTCATTTTTTTCTCTCTAGAGCAGTTGCAGCATTTATGAAATCTTTGTAAGACCTTGTTGGACCCTTGTGCAAAGGGCAGTCTTGTGATGTGAAATACCCTCTTACTGTGGAGCAAACTAAGACGAAGGAATGAGTGAGTGATGCTTGACACAGGTATTTTATCCTTGCCCACTTATCTTTATGTGTAAATTTAGTTTTTACATTTTCTTTCTCTGCCTCTACTGTGAAAATTCCGTGCAAGCTGTCACCTTGGCATCACTGGGACCGCTAAGTGCTACTCAGTGTGAGAAAGGGCTGCAGAATTAGGCCTCAGTTAGGAAATGTTTTAGGGGCATCAAAAGCCTGACCCCTTCTCTGGCTTCAAAGAAGTTATTGCTAAGTATTATTAGGCTGTTCAAACTGGGACACTCGTAATAGTGCTGGGAGCAGAAAGTGCTCCAGGTTCTGTAGGCGTTTTGCATCAGTAGGGTCTCCAGGAGCAAGCCAGCAGCCTTTGAGCTTCTCAGCAGCTTTTGGGAATAAGTGGGCAAAGGTGCCTGTGAGTCTTGGTTCACGAAACTACTTCATCAAGGCCTGGATGCAGATTCCCTTCCCTGCACTGAGAAGCACCTGGTGTCATTCATGTATTTTTTTGATGTGAAGTAAAGCCCAGGAGAGTCAGCCCTGTTGGTTGGTGAGTGCCTTCAGCACACACTGAAGTGATCAGGAGCAGAGGGCATTTGCCCATAGTTGGCAAACACAGACCTCTAGTTTTAAGTTGAGAAATTACCCGATTGTACACCAACAACTTGAATGTTGTGGGGACATTTTAGATGTTATTAGAGAAACTGCTCAGAAATGAAAAGGGGAATAATAAAATTACATTTTGTTCTTACCTGACACAGATATTATCTTGGTTATATTTGGTAAGATGATTTTGTTGGTAGTACTTGTTTCTATGTTAGTACTGGTTGTGGTTTAAGTAGTAAAAGAGCAATGAATTAACTGCACTGAAAGGAGAAAAGTGTGTGACCTTCTATTGGAATAGCAGGGAGTCAGAAAATATTTTATTTTTATTATTATTATGACTAATGATTACATGGGATATGTGACTGTTCAGATTCCTTTAGTAATGAGTTTAATGTCACATTTACTGAACCAGCCCAGTTAAAGAAGTTATTACTGTTTAAAGTGAATTCTTACAAATAATAAGAAGAAATTAGCAAGACAGCAAAAATGAGTTTTACTATGGTTTTATAACTGTTCAGTTACTGTGAATTGCTAAGATTTGTAAAGATCTTTGAAGATGAAAAGCTCTGTGTAATATTATTATAGTGGCTTGTAGAAAGTAAAAGGAAAAAACCCAGTTCATCCTGTTATAATCCTTTTAGAAATTTTAACAAATCCAACAGCTTTCAAGTAGTGGAAATATTTTAGAAAGTGCTACCACCACTACTGCTGTTGCTCCAGGCTATATTATCATATACCATAGTGTGCATGCAAGCAAAGCTTAACTAAGGTCATTCTAATGAATTCTGAACATTACATGGACCTAATTTAGCTTTCTGTCCTGTATGAAAGGCAACCTCTTCATGCTGCAGCACCCAGCAGAAACCCCTGAGTTGTCTTATGAACCTCATCTGCATTTTTCATCATCTGAAAGAGCTGTAAGTAATGCTCAGTCTATGAACTCAGTGGGCGTGTGTACTTCTTCCATCTTTAGCACAGGGGCCGAACAAGAGGTTTTTTTCAGCCTGAAAAGAACTGAAAGTGTATTTTATTGGGCTATCTCCACTTCTGGCTCCAGTTTCATTCTCTCATTTTTGTTACCAGATTTGAGTTCTTGGGTACAAAAGGACAGCGTTTTGCCAAATTCCTTTGATATCAGCTCTCTGCTCCATTCACAAGAGAGCTGCAAGGCTTCAGTGGCATTCCAGGGAGCCCTTTCCCTGTTGTTGATAGAGAAGACAGGTTGAAATCCTGATCTCATGAGTTCAAAGCAGTGCTGCGTGGCTGGGGAGCTGGTCTAGCTGGGCCATGAGCCCATAGCACTCAATGTAGAAACCTTTCTACCTGGATGGAGCTCCTTCCAGCCCCACTTCCTTCCTCCTACCGTTGCCACAGAAGAGGGTTTAAAAAAGTTTTAGTAAGTAAACACAGCTCATCATCCCAGGAACCAAGTCAGAGTGTCTGAAAGTAGGGAAAGTCCCAGAGATTTAGTGTTCTTTACAAAATATAAATTCTTATTCTCTCTAATCACTGTGGATATTCTTTCCTTTGTAAAAGTTCAACTGTGGTAAATTCTTGCTCTTAAAGAAATCCAGTGTTGGTGAGCTCCAGAAATGAAAATTTCCTTTTTGAGAAAAATGAAATACAAAAATGAGAAGAAAAAATTCTCAAGATTTCCCCGTTCCCACTTTGGGTGCAAATATTAATTGATGATCACTGAAATATTTTACTTTGATAACATTTGACTGAGTCTTCTTAACTTTTATCTGATACATGATACAATGAAAGAAGCTTAATCAACCAATTAAAGTTTAAATGCAATATTTTACTTTCTCTGAAAAATATTTTTTAGATTTATAACATTTGTAGATATTGCTATACTTTATTAATAATGCTTCAGTTTTTACTACATTGCACTATACAACAGAAAACAGAAAAATATTTTATTTATCTCTCTACCGTAGTTCAGTTATGAAATGAAAATAGTGTTTCTTGTTATCATAGTTGCATTTGCCATTTTTTCACTTCAGTAAATCCCTTGTTCTTAGGTGCAGTTTTTAACCTTTCCCAGCTATTCAGTGTTCATACTTGGATAATGTCCTTTTTATGTGTCTCATTTCTAATGTAAATAACCCTGTGCTTTTAACTTCTCTTCAGGTGAGGGTTTTGATTTTTTTAGATTCTTGGCTATTCTTAATTATCTTTCTATTTTATCAGCTTCACATTTATCTCTGCATTATCCTTTTGCTCAAAAATGAGTAGAAATAATGATGTATTTTCAAAAGTGCTTTATCATTGATAAAGTCATTTAATGATGTTTTGGTTTTGCTATCATGTTCTTGCATCATATTTGCTTTTTTTCACTGCAGTTCAATACTACCATTTGTGTCATCTGTCTTTTTGAATGGATGCTAAATGAAAACATTTTAAAAATCACTAGAAGAAAAAAAGTCACTTAAAAAAACCCCATATACTTGCACATTAAAATATATTTATTATCATGGCACCTCTTCACCCATCTAACCTACATCTCTCCAAGGGTGAATCATAGTCATCTTTGGCTGCTCATGGTTTATATAACAAAACCAGGTGCGTTCTGCATTGCTTTTGATTCTGCAGCAAGAGCACATAGCTGTAATTTTACTCAAATCCCCAGCAAGATTTTGCTTAAATTGCTCTGTATTTGTGTACTAGCTTCTTGCATTTCAGCTATCTGCATTTTCTTCATAGTGAATATTGCCAAACTACTAAGATACTTAATGGATTCTTACTGAAATGTGACTGTCTTTTCACACTCTCACAGGAAATTGCAGAAGGACTGAAGGCACCTGTATGTGAGACTTAGAATAGTTTTCCTTAGCTTTAGAGATCCAGCTCTGCCAGGGGGCTGATCTCTCTGTTTCCTGTCCTCCTTGAGGGGCTCTGTGCTCAAGCCAACAGATCGCATCTGGTGGCGCTGGTTTGCAGAGAGGCAACAGTACAAGCTCCTGTGAGTAAATCCCAGCATTACAGGTATGGCCAATTGTAAATTCTCAGTCTTGGTTTGTTTCATTAAGTATTAAGTTCAGTGGACTTTATCACATATGTGCTACTAATATTGCATGACGTTTTGGCTTCTTTGTCTGTATTGACATAAAACAGAGTTGCAAGATCAAGACACATTCACCTCAAGACAGAGCTGTTATTTCCAAGTGTCAAGCATGAGGAGCTTTTTGTGTGGATACTTTGATTATTTTGGTTCTTGGAGCCCTTGCCTACTTTATATTTTTTATCCAATGTACTCAACGTGGCAAGTTTTTACTTCTCATCTTCCAACTGCTACCTTAGTCACCCTGATTTTTTCCTAAACGTTCCATGGCTTTTTGTGTGTGATCTCTTTTCTCTAAATAATGAGCCCAAAGGGTCTGACTTCTCCTCTCAAGTGGTAGCTCAGGAACTTGCTTGAGATTAAACATAATGTCAGTCCAGTGTCTTAAATGTCTACTGTTTGTTACTGAGTCCTCAGACCTGTCCAAAGAATTACATGGCAGTGCATACCCTCGACTTCTAAATAGCAACAAATGTTGAGCAAGAAAGATTTGAGAGAGCTGAATTATCTCGTTAAATTAACTGGAACATTTTAATTTTTACCAGAGTTGAGTGAGCTTGAGTAAATATGACGAATTGGACGCTCACTTCATTTAGCAGACATCAAACACACACAGAACGTTGCCCAATTTAATTTAGCCCTGCCAAGCTGGGAAAATGCTTGTACAACATCAGTGAACAAGAAAAGGGCTAAAATTTACTCTCGGTTGAGAGTGCATGCATAAATTCCCTTGACATAAACTGGTGTTGTGTATGTATGTATGTATATATAAAACCTTCTCTTGGGGAAAATCCTCCAAACACCTGCAACCAGAATTTGTGCTATGAGTTATTCCCAATAAAGTAAATAATAGTTTTCCTTATTGTTCTAAATAGAAATGTGTAACTCCTGTCTCACAGTCCAAGGTTTATCTCCTTTTCCTCTGCTATCTCTTATCAAACACATACCAGCACAGTCTCTTGTTCAGTCATGCTCAGTAGAGTGGTTGGCTTTTTTTTTTTTGGCTTTATCCCCTGAGCTTAATGGGCACATTTTGTGAAGAGTGAGCCAACCAGGTAAATAGCTGCTACTATGGAGCTTAAGAGCTACAGCTCTCAAATTAGGAGGTGCTTTTTGTCAAATAGGCCTCTGTAGCTCTAATATTAGTAACAAAACAAGGGTTTTTCAGACAAGAAAAAAATCTTTAGTCTGACTCTGTATCACACTTAACTCTGTTGCCTTGTCAAATATGTCAATGTTCATATTATACAGCAGCATTCATCTGTGGAGGCAAAAGTGCTTTCCAAATATTACCTTTTGAATAGTTTTAATTTATACTTAACAACCAGGTTTGTGAGATGGTACTCAAAGAGAATCAGAGTGAACTATTTAAAAAGTTAGTATAAATAAATTATAGTGATTTACTTGCTTTCCTATTGCTCTATAGAAGGTTGTTGGCTTGAGTTCCAGAACAAAACTACCAAAGCATTTTTCAAAGAGATTTTTTTTCTCGTTTTGTTTTAACTCCATATCCACACACATCTACATGCCTGTTTAATTCTAGTTTTAGCTTCTCTGTTGCTGTAATTTGTAAGTATCTTCTGGTAGAGCACCAGGAACGAGGTACACAGGAAGCAGAATACAGAGTACAGCCCCGTGTAGAGGCATTATGATCTCGGATACATACATCAGGCAAAAATTGTCATCCTTTTGCTCCAACTTGTTTATGGAATTTTGTTACTTTTTTGCATGCTTCAGAAACATTAGCTAGAAACATTACTGAAGGAGTTCCTTGCCTTCAGGCTATGCAACTTCTCACAGTGTTTTAAGGCATTTTTATTGATTTTTTAAGCAAATTTGCTTTGAGCACAGCCTTTCATTTTCTGTTTTCTGAGAACAAGGCTACAAACCTGTTTGCAGAAGGCAGATGTCACAGAACACACGCTGTGAGTTTTAAACTGGTCCATGAAACACTGCAGTAGGATGACTTTTACTATTACCTGTCTTGAACCAAAATAATAGTGACTTACTTGCATTCTTACTGATAACAAACTGGATGTTAGTCATTCTTTATCTCAATTTATCAGCTCATTTGTTAGTTTAAAATTATTAGGCTTTTTGAATATTCCCTTCCCTCAGTATGTCTGTAGGAAATACTAGTTTTGTGTTAAAACAATGCAGTGAGGCAAAAAAAAGCTGCAGGCAAGCTGTCTTTGGTGCTCTGGTTCTTGGGTTCCTGATTACTGTGTTCTAGGTCTTGAGTATCAGAGCTGGTACATGATCACAACATTGACAACTGTAGGGTATTTCTCCCTTTGAAAACCAGCATTTTAGTGCCCAAAGCTGGATTCCCAAACTGAAACATGGCAAGTCAGAGGTCTTTGTTTTGATCAGGGGTGTGCATAGACAGTGAGTGAGTGAAACAACATTTAAACTGTGTGTTGAGGAATGCCTGAGCAACGTGCAGTTGTTGCTGTGGAGCACATTTATTCTTGATGCTAATTTGGTGAGGGTGCTCTCTTGCCTGCTGACAAATGCACAGGGTCTGCTCGTCCTTGGACCACAAGGTTGCTTTGAGCTGTTTTGTTTTCAGGTCTGTTTTAGGATAATAAGTCTGCTGACAGCTGGGTTCTGTAAGAAAGCTCCCATTCAGATACATAAGTCTAAAATAATTAGGTGTGTTCCTAGGGTAGAAATAAACATTGCCCTTCTATTTTTTGAAAGCAGATGAACTTACTAGACCCACCCTAATACTCTGGGGTTGTCTCCTGCCTTATGGGCTGCCACGGAAGCTCTAAAACCATCGCACACAAAACTATGGGACTCCCACCATCAACATGAGCTCTCTACCTGCCCCTGGTGCTGGCTGTCAGAACCACTTCATCTGAAATCAAGGTAAAGAATCAGCAGCACTAAATACTACAGGACAAAGGCATAAACTAGCTTTGTAACCCTGGGCAACCTGGATGTTTGCTGACTGACAGTGTGAATGACAGCCCAGTTGTCAGTCTAAAATATCGTCCTCTAATCGTTCCAGATGTTATCCAACAAGATGATGGCTACTAAAAAGGGAATAATTTGGGAAAAGTCATAAAGCCCCTTGTCTCCTGCTGAAACCATTTCTCTTTGCCATTTCTGAAGTCTCTGCAAAATAGATCCAGAATCCAGTATGTAACGCACGACTGGTTTATTGAGAGTGTCCACTCAGAACTGCACTGGGTATCCCATTACATTGTTAGAGAAGCGTACCCCTGAGCTATGCCACTCCTTCATGTCTTGGCAGGTGACTCCAATCTGGCCATACAGTGTAGCTGAAATATTTTTACCTGTTTCAAAATACGACAGGGAGCAAAAGCTGCCATAATGGCTGCTCACAGACACAGCCTAGCAAATCAGAGAAAGAATGGAGTTGATCGCAGCAGAAACATAGTGCAGTTTCTGGCTAGAATTCTTAGTAATATTTTTTTTCTACTTAATAAAGAAATGTCTGAAAAAATTGTAAATCCCTTTCCATTCTTGCTTAATTTATTCAATGGCATTTTAATTTCAATATGAAGAGAGGATTTTATTCTGAACTTCAGGCTAAGTGAAGGGCTGTATATGAAAGAAAAATAACAAGAGGAGAAAGTCTCTTTTGAGAAGGACAGCAAATTATAGTAGAGGAAATGGAGGGGAAGGAGAACACAGGAAAGGCAGAACATTATGGTGTCTGAATCTTGAGTTTTAAATTTTGAAAACATAACCTGAACCACTGAAGTTAGAATACAGTTTGTCATCCAGATAAAACTAAAAATGAACCCCCTTGATTGTTTCATTATAGCAGGCTGCTTTAAGGGCATAAAGTGAAACTGGAAAACATTCATTAATTACTGTGTAAATTCCTTCCAAGGTCTATCAGAGGAATATCCAGATTGTCATCCAGAAAATTCTGTATCTCATTCATGTGAGATATCTCAATGAAATACACTGAAAGATTGCTGCTAAACTTTGGTAGAGAGGACAAAAGTGTGTTTAGAGCAACTGTTAACAATCTGTCTCCTGTAGGCTGTGTTGGGCCTGATTCTGCCATTTTCACTCGTACTGGCTGATAACTGACCAATCAATTGCAAAGAAGGTAGTGGAATAATTTATGTAGTAAGGAGTTAAATTTGCATGAGTTTAGGCAGAAGGTTGCTGTCATCTGTTTTAATGAAAATTTCAGGTTGCTTGCTATCTACCTGAGCAATTCTAAAATGGTCAGTATGGTGATGTGGAGGAATGGAATAATCCCATCTGAGAAAAGGTAGGTTTTCTGACTGGCAGTTACATTTCTATTGGTGTATCATGAAAATAGAGTCTCTTCCTAACTGTTTAGTTCCCCTTGCCAAATGGTGTGGTAGTTTTGAAGGTTTAGCTTGTCCAAAGAGCAGCTTGAATCTAGCACCAAAGAATTTCCAAACAGTGACTTGAACAGTTTTACATAAGAAGTTAGGGTAAAAGATCCTAATGAAGCCCTTTCCCATGCCACTTAGACAGTATTGATATCTGCTTTTAATAATATTTTGGCTGTTGAATTGCATCCATGTCTTGCTTCAGCTATGGAAAGTTTGGAAACACGAAGACTTTGTGGGAGCCTGTGAAATGCTGGAATGCTGATACACCTCCCATGGAGTATGAAATAGAGGTCATGATTTCTCTTTGTCATGGAGCAGCCCAGGACAACATCACAAAAAGTATTTATTTCAGACTTTGTATAAACTTAAGATCTTAACTCTCTCTTCAAACTTTATAAAAATTAGTACTGGTTCTTAGTATCTGCAAGTCTTAATTGTATCATGTTTCACTTACATGCATGTATACATAGGTGGGGGGTGTTGTGCTTACATATTCTCAGTTCCTTTTAAATCTAGAGTAGATATATTTTTATACAAATCTACATGTTGTTCATTATTATGACCCCCTTTCTAAATGAAATACAATTTTTTTCTAATATACTTTCTCCCCTGTGTCTTGCCAAGTTTAGCTAACAGACACAACGATGTGCTAGTAATCAGTAACTTTTTTTTAAAGTTGATGTATGTGCTCAGATAGTAGGAATTTAAAATTAGGAGGCTATAAATTCTGCCCTTTCTTGATAATCGAGTCCTGTCTAATAGCAGAATTGTTGCAGTAATTCCACTGTGACATGCTAAAATTAGGAGCCAGTAGGTAATAGAATTGTATGTGTGTGTATATTCATGTACTTCTTTTCTGTGGACAGTTCTAGTGAATCTACCTAGCTCTGTACATTATAGTAAAGTACTTTGGTTTTGTAAAAAAATTTACATGGATTTTATGTTTATAAACAGGTTTTTTATGTCAACAATAAAAGTCCACTAAAAAGAGTGGAAAAGTAAATTGCACCCAATTCATTCTTTAAGTGTAGCAGACATAACCTCATGTTTCACCATCCTGGAGGGGCAGTTTGTTTTGTTTCAGAAACTTCAATAATTTTATGTATTCTGATTAAGTTTTGATTGAAGTTTTGCTTAAAGTTTTGCTATTGTTTAAAAACCTGAAATGCACAGTGAAATCTCAGTTTGTAAAATCACTTAACTGGAAGTTAGATCAGTCTTTGAATAGTCCCTCTGAACCTGTGCATCTTGTGTAGCTCTGATCTGGATGGAAAGTGTGAAAGGAAATAGACCTATAAGAAATAACAGTTAACAGCAGATATTGAAAAATGTATGTATGGAACCAAAGGGTTATTTTTTAAGCTGTCGATTATTAAATTTATTGCTGGATTCTCCTAGCAACAATTACAAAAAAAAAAAAAAAAAAAAACCACAAACCAAAACAAAGCAAATTTCTCTTCCCTCTGATATTTCAGCTATCCATTTCATATTATTCCATTCTTTAGGTCATGTCATTAATACCACAACTCCAATGAAACTGAAGCAATTCTAGAGCTGACTTGCATTTGTTACTGATTTTCTTTTATGAAATTATAGAAGAATTATAAAAAGTGCTGTTGGTTATCTTTCATCTAGTTATGTCATGCCCTTAACTATGGTTTAATTTCCCATTACTGTGTTTTAGTGATATGTTTTGAACTGCACATTGTACATTACCACTCAGTTTTCTGTGGAAATTGTGTCTGCCTATGCTCAAGACTAACAAGTCACTATCCGTCTGGATTCAAAGAAGTAATATTTAAATTTTTTTTTTTTTTTTTTTTAAATCACAAAACATTTTTGCAATTGAAACTGCATTACAGTGCTTTGGCATCACACTAAACCTATATTACCTTTGAATTAGCCTTCAGTGACCAAACTAATGCAATTTGCAATTTCTTTTGTGGAGTTAAGAACCTCTCTTCTCTGGTTTGGTCCTTGAGCCAGCACACTGCAATGCCTTCTCTTCTAGTGAATATCCTCCTACTCTTTACTGTCATTGATAATCACCTCTGTTTTGTCTCATACTATCCTTTGACAACAGTGACAGGCTAGTGAGCAAAAAGAGAGGGCCATGAGGGAGCCATCAAACATCCTGGCTTAGAGCAGACTCCACTGAAGGAAGTCCAAGCATGCTGGCAGCCAGTGGTTGCAGAAGTACAGCCAAGCACAGGACTCTTTATGTACAAGCCTGGTTATTCTCCTCTTCCTCCCTCCTCTGCCACTGGCTGCTGCTGGAAGCAGGACTCTGCCTGAGAGACCTTTGCTCTTATCCAGTTGTTCTTATGCTAAAACTTTTATGCTGTGCTTTTTGATTTTTCTTCTGTTTTTGCAGATAGTTAGGCTTCTGAAGGATAAAAGGACCAGAAGAAAGTTTGCAATTTTTTCACACTTCTGTACTCCTCAGTTTAGTCTGTTCACTGCCTAGAAGAAGAAAAGAAAATGAAGAGAACAAATGTTATGGCATCCCTGCCTTCCTGAGGCTGGTAATTCAGCCAGTTGCAGTCTGAGCCTCTTATAGCTTAGTTTTCCCAATAATTTTAGGAACTTTTCCTGCAACCTTCATTCTCAGATGTCAGAACTGATAGAGAACTATGGAAAATAAGTTGGTACCTAGCAATCTCTCATAATTTTTCCCAGGATCTTTTGAAATTTTGTGTGAATTACCTATAAAATACAGTTTCTCTAGAGCAACTTTATTTATTATCTATCAAAATACTTCTGTTTATCCTTAATTTTCTTAATTTTTGCTTATTTGTTTAAGCACCATGCTCTCCTGTGAAGTTTGGGTAGGAATATTCTTGAATGTTTTACTAGTGTAAGTTCCAAGATTGGATCCATTGCTACAACATATGGGTTCTTTTGAAAAATGGGAGATTTTAACTGTTTTTTACTTTTCAGCAGGGGAGTCCAACACTGTAATCCACAAATTAAGAATGATCAAATGCTTTAACTATTTGGTAGTTCCCCTTGGACATGTGTTTAAAGGTTTAAGTATGCCTTGATGGAAGTGTTTGCCTTTAGCTGTTCTTTGCTATTTTATCTATTGCTTCAGCTGTGAAAAGCTTTTTTATTTGGTTGAGGTTTGTTTATTTCTCACTGCTAAACTTTTCTAATATTTTAAAATTCTGCATTGTAGAAAGGTTTGAATTTTGGCCTCTCTTTGGATTATTTTAAAAGGACAGATATTTTACACACTAAAATGCTTTCCATAAAACACAGCTGTAAAAAAAAAAAAAAAGTGAAGTAACTCAGTCTATACTTTGTCCTCTTGTAACTTATTCTCTTTAAAAAAGGGTTTATGTAATTTTACATAATGGTTTTGGCAAGAATGTTTATTGCCCAGCTGGGTGAAATTATTAATGTACCTCTCAAGCTGCATTTTCAAAGACCAGTAATACATATATAAACCTCTTTGAGTCTCCTTGATATGTAGGATTTTTATTGGAGACCCTTGTTCCACTTCAGTCAAAGGATGACACAAAATGTTTACTTTAAAAAGTCTTTGACATCCTCCTGAGAATGTTTTGATAGCATGGCATACATTTGGTTACAATTAGTAAGCCAAACAATTTTCCATTGTTATCTCACTGTGTTTATCTAGAGCCTGTAAGGAGCTTTCAGAAAATATCCATCTCTGTGTTTCAGTTAATTGATTGCATGTTCAGTAGGATTATTCATTTTTATAAAGCTCCTTGTCCTTTTAATTTTATCACAGGGATTCTACACAAAGGCATGTGGTAGAAAGCAAAAGGGAAATACTGGCACAGTTAAGCATAAAGAAATATTGTAGTTGTATCAAGGCTAATATTTCTGCGTGTGGGAAAAAAATATCGATGTGTTCCTGCTACTTCTGGGTGCAAGATGTTATACCTGAGGGCTGAAAGTAATAGTTGCTGGTGTGAAAGTATTCACCAATATCAAGTGCAGATGAATGCTTTTGGAGCCAGCTGAAAGCTGAGTTAATAATACTTTAACTTAATATTTGAACTTGTACTTTGGTATAATAAATGACGATTGACTTAATTTTATTCAAACTTTATTAGCAGTGTGATTAAAGGACTCAAATGCTTATCTGATACCTTTGCTGTGTTGTGATTTGTTTGGTTATTTGCCATTTTATTTATAGACTAGAATCTCATCTTTCATTGAACATCTTACTTTCTAAATAGAGATTGATAAGTCTCAGCTAAGATCATTGTCTGTCTTTTTTAGGTAGTAAACATATCTTGGTATGTACATCCCGTCTTACTTACAGCTGTTTGGTGGTTACATGATTAAGCTGAATATAATGTGAATTAGTGTCTATGTCACAGAAATTCCCCGTGCAATTATCACCCCTTGGAACTGCTTCAGTGCCAGGTTTAGGCCTGATAGCAGGAACTGGTGCTTCTCTGCCTCCTTTAATCATCCTCTTTCGTTTACACTCTTTTTGGAGAAATCACTGATCAGAACTCCTGTAAGGGTAGGTACACAGCGGAGAAATGCAGAGCTTATGATGCTACTGTGCTTGTTAAACCTGTATCCTTGAAGTCTCCTGCATCCCTACCCTGTCAGACTGGTAAAGCTGTGCTGCTGTTATGAATTCCTGGTGGGAGTGGTCAATACCAAATTGAATAATTCCCTTTTGAATTACATCTTTAACAAAACAATTCTTGAAAAACCTGCTCAGTTTTGGATGGGTGCACAGGAAGAAAAGGGATGGTACTTGAAACGCTTTCTGCAGTAGTTGTCTCTGCTCCCTCACCAGGGTGGGAAATGACGGAGTTGCACAGGGGTGTCCTCTGTTGCTGTCCTGTCCTACACTGCCCTCCAATCAGCACTGGAAGAGGAAGTCATTGTCGTGGGTCTCCGCATGACTGGCACACAACTTGCACCTAGGTCAACATTTCTATGCAACAAAAGCACACTGCCTGGTGTCTCCAAAGTTGGAATCAGGAGTTTGGGCTCCTCAGTGCATGTCAACATCAGATTTAGCCCTTTTAATTTCCTTTTCATCAGAGCTAAGTTATGTCAGTTCATATTCTCTCGAGCAGTTTGAATTCAATTTACCTGGTGATTAAGTTACTTTGGGTGACTTGGATGCTGGTAGGAATGCTTGTTCAAAGGGTTAACTTAACCTTCCCCAAGGTTGTAACGGACACTGGAAGATCAAAAGCTCCTCCAGACTGTCAAAGAGAGGGGGGAAAAAAAGAAATGCTTGCTTTTACAGTTTTCAGTCAATGTATTTTTTCTGGAAAGAAAGTCTGTGTTTAAGGTACTTAAACTTATGATACAAACGACTCATTTTGTTTCTAATTGTAAACATAATTTGTCTGGTCTTTCAGTTCTTTGGATTTATGCAGTAGCCATGTTTGTTGAAGTATTTGGCACCAGTGACATCATTTCTGTTGAAATGCTGGACGGCGTGATGAGTCCCAGATGTTAATTCACACCAAAAGTCGAGAATGAATAAAATATAAAGATCAACTGTAACAGCTATGAAGGTAAAAAAAAGTGATTCTGTTCTTCTAGTATTCAAAGATAATTATTTATATTTGTTTGAGGTTTGTTTTGCATAGATGATCCATTAGGGACTGTGCTCAGTACTTTGCATGTACAATATAAGGGCAGACTGAGAAGTGAATTTGGATGAACACTTAATAAAAGCATGATTTAACTTCATGATGGCACTATTTCCTTTGTGTTTTTTCCAATCTTTTGCACTTTACATGTGTAGATTATGATATATGCAAAATATGTGTACTGAGACCTAAATGTGCCTCTTTCTGAACTGCCAGAATTTAACGTGACATTCAGATAATGGTCATGCATGGTTATGTCAGCACATCATGTTTTCTAATGTACTGTAACATGACATGCCAATGTAACCAAGAGTCGCACCATTTCCTAATGACATGTCATGTCTGTGAAATGTAAAAAGGATATGACTTGCTGAGAATCGGGCTTGATTTTTTTTTTATTTTATTTTAAAATAAAATATCTCTTTGTGCAGTTTATCCAGCTCCAAAAGTAGCTTTCATAAAAGTGTGGTTTAGGTGCTTAAGGGGAAAAAATCATAAAGGTACCCAGGTATAGTTCCATATTAACCACATTTCTACCCAAGTGTTTCATGCTGCCCATGTCTGGTATAGGAAACACTAACAAATCATACATCCAACCATCCAGAGCACTCTCAGATGGATAAGGCTTACCTGACTAATATTGTAGTGGGAAATCAAGCAGAGGTACTCCCTTAATTTTCTTCCAACAATGAACACTTTCTTTAGATCATTCTGTTGTCAAAATAGTGTTCTCTGTCATGAAAAATTCTCATATACAGACTTTAAAATTGACTCGGAAAATGTCTATTTATTTGTCAAATATGTTTCCTTAATTTATTGCACCAGTTCTCCAGGCTTTCTAGGCATAAGATAAATTGTATTAAAGACACAGAGAGAAAAAGAAATTTAGACTTTTCATATTGGAGTACTGAGTCCTATAAAAATGAATAATCGGTTAAATGTATAATGCGTATGTCACTGTCTTCTCTTAAAAGACTTCACATTTGAAAAAAAATATAGAAATATATCAAAGTATAAACGTGTTTCAGTTCTCAGTAGATTATTCCTAATCTCTTTATTTGAAGTGAAAGTTTTCACATTAGTCTCAATACAACTTTTCTGAAACCTGAAAGCAGGGGCAGTAGTGATGCATTGTTGTGGTGCAATTTTCTCTGTGCTGCTCGGTTTTGAGCCAGCCATATGACATTGATGTTGCTGAGTATAAGGGAATTCTGAAATTATTTGGATTTTTCTTTACTTTTCTTTCAGGCTGCATGGTATTTTGGGAATAAACATTGAAAACAGATCAATTTATATTGTTCTTCCTGTTTACAGGGCTGTACTCAGTTTGCATTCTGGCGTTGATACACGAAGACTATGGGATTTTGTCAAGGGCTCCTAAAGCTGTTAAGATTTTGAGGTGAGTCTTTCAGATACCCTTACTAAACCCAACATATCTACAGGATTTTGTTAGATCTCATTTTCAAAATCACTTATGTTATTTAGGGGTCTACATCACAGTTCTGAAAGCAACTTGGATGCTTAGTACATCAGATCTCCCTGACCTTCAAAGGGACATCTAAGCGTTTATGGTCAGGTACTGAATGTAAGAGAAGATTGGTAGGATTCTTTTTATAGTGTTTCATCACCACAATCCCTTTGAAATCACTTTAAACACTTTCCTTCAATTTAAAAAATGGGGCATGTATTTCTAAATCGTATGTGTACTTATGAAAATATTACCTGTAATTTATTTAAACCTTGTGAATACCCCAGGAAAAAGATGTGTTGTGGATGCAGTGTGTTAGTATAAAATGTGTTCTATGAATTTTGGGACAAATCCCGGATTTTGTCACTAATGTGTCATTTTAGTCATTACTTGCTGAGATATATCATTAGAAATCTCAGTCATATAGGCCATACTTAAATTACATATCAGATGACCCAAACGTTGAAGGTAAGATGGTGTAATCACTTTAAGCAATTTATGCCACTGAAGATCAACACCCTCAAAGTCCTGCATCTTCCTGAGTGGAATAATTTCACCTTCTCAAGTATTTTCTTACATCTTCTCATTTTAGTCAGGACCCCTACCTTCCCATCCCCAGCTTATCTGACTGGCTTGAGATACTGATGCAATTACTGTCTCTGTATACTCTCTACAATTAGTCTTAAAAAACATAAAAATTTCACCTGAAACACAGATGTTTTAGTTAGTTTGTGAAAATACTGAAGGCAAAAATCTCAAGGGGGTAAAGAAACAGAGAGAGCTTTGCTGAAGGGTGAGCAATACCTGTTAGTTACATAAAGTTATAATAATACAGTATCCTATTGCGTGATAAGATAGGACACAATGTAATATTTTTGTATGCTTTAGTGTCAGTTTTATTTGCTGAACATTTAATAGGTTTGCAAACAGAATAGTTAGATTTGCCAGTTTTGCTTTTCTTTTTTTTCATTTGTTTGTTTGTGTGGATTTGTTTTTTGTTGCTGTTGGGTTTGGATTGGTTTGTTTGTTTGTTTTTTAATACTTCCACCCATTTTCCAGCAGTCATTCCCTTTCCTTTTCATTATGGTCAGAAAACTGTGCTATGACATGCTAAAAAATGTTTGCTAACATTATTTAAAGGTCACGTTCAGAGCTGTTGATTTCAGACCCAGTGACTTCTTGCCAGGCCACTATGTTTATGCCAAACTGCGTCATCAGGCTCTCTGCTAGCATAGCTTTAGTGGCTTTTCATTGTTTCTGTTTAAAAAACAAGGTATTACATTTTCCAGAAACCCTGTGTGTGATGTTGAGCTCAGACTTTGCAGCTGTCTCTGTAGTTCTTAGAAAGGTGAAAAAGCAATGTCAACACTCTGTACCACGCAAGTCTGATTTTTTTTTTTTTTTTTTTGGTCTAAGGTCACCTTATAGTTGTAGATCTTGGAAAAAGTTCATGAATATTTATGATGGCATCAAAAAATCAAGCAGCTGCAAATTGTTTACAACATTTTTAAGAGTATGGAACCAGCTTCTACTATAAATCAAATACATCTGTTAGAACTGGATGAAAATTGAAAGCTCTTTGGTTCCATCGTATCCTCTTATGTACCTGAGAGTTGAAAAATCATCGGTACCATGATTCCAAAACACTAATGTGGGGTGCATAGATAAAAGGTAAAACCTGAAATAACATATCAAATTAATCAATCTAAAGATAGCACATGAAAGTAGTTTAATGAAATATTAATTTGAAATAGATGCCATAAAACTTTATGGAAACTTCCAAAATGTAGAATCACAGTCTGCCTAAAATTTTAACTCATTACGCTTTTTTCCTGCTTTAAGAAAAATTCTTCCATAACACAGCACCTTAGATGTGCACGTTTGAAGAAGTGCATATTAAAAATGTGCACAATATTGTCTTCAGATATTTGTTGGATTTTTCCTCCATGCAGCCATGATTTACAATCTGCTGCAAATTTAATAGCTAGCTGGAGAAATAGGCAGAAGTAATCAATTTTAAATCTTGGCACTTCTGGTAAATTGGTATTTAGATGGCATTTATTGTATGAAAACATCAAAACATTTGGTTTTGTTCAAACCAGAGGAATAATGTGTTTGCTTTAGATGAGGCACACTACTTGCCTAAAAATTATCTTGAATGAGAGGGAAAACTGCTCATTCCTTAGGACTATGATTTTCAAACTTTTTCTTTTCAAGTACTGCCATCAGCAGCAGTGGTGACAGAAGCCTCAGCCTGCAACTCTGCACAGGCTCACATCAGGGCGTAGTGTTCTCTTGTGATATGTGGGTTACAACTTGGGAGTGTCTATACTGGAGCCCTTAATTTATTAAAATACAACTGTGCCAATAAATAAACTCTCTGATTTAGAGAGACTACAATTGCATTTTACCTCTCCTTGGGAGGTTTCATTGCACTTGTACTGTTCCTCAGTTTTTCACTGAAATACTTTTGAATTGGGTAGCATGTGGGATTTTGGGTTCTTCCCATTTCATGTTTAAAGGATCATTCAAAGACCTGTATGGTCAGAGGTACCCCTACACTTGGCATGAAGATCTTTTTCAACTGCCAATACTTCCCTCCGTTCAATATTCTGAACAGCAGACTCCATTTCTTTTCCTGCTGCCCAGTGTTACAGACTGTCATAGAATATCCATCCCTGAGCAGCATTGCATTACAATTCAAGTAAACCTCCTTCAACCAGCATGCAAGACTTCATCAGAAGGCAAAACGCTAGTCTGAGAGGATAATAACTGAGACATTCTTTTAATAAGGACCATTTTTAAATGTTAAGAATGACTTGTTTTAATTAAAGGAGAGGAAAGGAACTCCTACCAAGAGTCAAAGAGATCCCCCAGCGCTCTCTGAAGTCTTCAAATTGTCTTGTATAGAAATGCCTGGGAATCAGAAATTTTAAAAAGTTATAAAAAATTTCCAGCCATTTTACTGTGAAGTTCATCTGAAGAGTTTATTCTCTCCTGAAGTTAAAAATCTGGCTTTAGCTCAAAATAAGATGCTTGACCACCCTGTTTACTGAAGGCAAATCATAAGACTCAGTTTATAGACCCAACTTTTGCTGAGTTTGTGTAAGCAAGGATGCAGAACAATTACAATTCAAACACTTTTTTTCAATCTACTGTACAATATCCACCTGTTCTGTCAGACAGCAAGAATGTATGCCACAAATACAGACTACTGTGGTGACAGCAGCAGGTGTGTGGCAGCAGCAACTAATCAAATCAGCTGAATCGGAGGTGTGAATCACATTGCACTCCAGTGCAATGAAAATGATCAGAAAGGAGAAAGCTAAATGGTGGTGAATTTTTGTTTTGTTTCATTTTTAAGAACTGTCTTTAAATTATAGGCAGTGCAACCGTTAAGTACAAGAAAAAAATAATGAGGAATTGAAAGGAAAATGACACTTCATCCTTGCTGCAAAGGACAGGCAGAGTGAGATAGGTATAAGAGACATCCATTGTAATCACTCTGAAAAAGCAAGACATGGGGTTTGATTTTCCTAAAGAAGCAAATGCAAAAGAACTCTTGTCTGTACCATATGACTCATGATGCTTCTTTACTAGGCTTAAAGAGAATTGAACTTGAGTAATAGCACCATTAGAGCTCTTTACCAGGAGCTAGTTCCTGTGGTTTCACTGGGTCCAGCTGCTGATGACTCACAGAGGAAGTGGCAGAGATTAGGTGCACAGGGAAAAAGTCAGAACAGCTCAGAAATAAAGCAAATCAACCAAGCATTACCTTTTGTGCACAACAGAACAATGGCTTAACAACTAAGGTTCAAAATGATCCGTCTTATTACCCTCATTTATGCTGTTCCTGTTGGAAAGACCACCAGGAAACATGTGAACCACTGTGGAATACACACTGTAATCCATGGAACATCTCAATTAATATTCCCTCTTGACTACAACTAGAACAATACATAGCATCAAGCAGTTTAATCTCCGGCAATAATGCCTTTTGTGAGATCAAGAGGTCTTTCCCTTGAATTAAGGTTTAAGTGAGGATTTTGAAAATTAGGTATTCTGCATAGCATCTAGTGGTGGCTACAGGTTCCATAAGTAATAGCTAGGTAAAATGGGTAGACACAGTCTGGTTTTCACTAGAAATGTTGTTATTAGTAATTTCTCCTTTGTAAATTCACATTGGGTTCCCTGTAGAAGAGAGTTAATCCTCCAGCAGGCTTTGTTATGAACAAATATGTCCAAGCATGTATACAATTTAAATATTGCCTCTAGTATTGAGTTTTGCACTACAAAACTATGTCCCCAGCAGCAAAAAGTTAAAATACATAACTTAAAAGGGAAGGTACAGGAGGAAAATTCTGGATCTTGTTTGAATTATTAATGTACAGTAGTAGTCCTGCTGTTGGATCACATCACTACAGTTTCGGACACATAGCTCAGGGGATGTTTTCTTCTTGAAAACTGCAAGCAGTTTAGGCTCTCTGAGTTGCTATAGATTGATAATGTATCTTATTACAAAACCATAAGACTATTTTGACTAGATTATACCACTTTGAAAAAATTTTTGAAAAGTATGATTAAGTACTAAGAGCACCCTAAGAAAAAAAAATTGCAGATTTTGCTAGGTCAGCAATTTATCCTTGTTTTTAAAAATAAATTGGAATAGATAATTTCACTTACATTCCACTTTCTATTTTCCATAAGAATTTCAGAAGTAAGATCAGTTAGTTATTATACAGAGATGCGTTTTATAAACATTCGCTTTAGTGATTAATGTAAAACAATTCACAACCATCTCTTTAGAATATTAAGTAATGCACTTTATGTGTTTACCATGAGCTGGCGTTTCAAACCCCATTAGGTGACTGTGTGACACTGGAGCACGGCCTCTGCCACACAGAGTTTTGAAGAGGCCCATACTACCCTCA